GCACCACGGTTCAACAAGAACTGGGTGGAGGCATCCAAATCGGAACCGAATTGAGCGAAAGCAGCGACTTCACGGTATTGGGCAAGGAAAAGCTTGAGGGAACCGGCAACTTGCTTCATGGCCTTGGTCTGGGCAGCGGAACCGACACGGGAGACGGAAAGACCGACGTTAATGGCGGGACGGATACCCTTGAAGAAAAGTTCAGCTTCCAAGAAGATCTGACCGTCAGTGATGGAAATGACGTTAGTGGGAATGTAAGCAGAGACATCACCACCCTGGGTCTCAATGATGGGAAGGGCAGTCATGGAACCGTAACCGAAGTCCTTGTTCATCTTGGCAGCACGCTCGAGAAGACGAGAGTGAAGGTAGAAAACGTCACCAGGGTAGGCTTCACGACCGGGAGGACGACGAAGCAAAAGGGACATTTGACGGTAAGCAACAGCTTGCTTGGACAAATCGTCATAGATGATCAAAGAGTGACGACCGTTGTCACGGAACCATTCACCAATAGCAGCACCAGAGAAAGGAGCAAGGTATTGAAGAGGAGCGGCTTCGGAAGCGGTGGCAGCAACAATGATGGAGTACTTGAGGGCATCGTTGTTCTCAAGAGTGCTGACGAGCTGAGCAACAGTGGAACGCTTTTGACCAACAGCAACGTAGACACAGTACAACTTCTTGGCTTCATCAGAACCGTTGTTCCAGTTCTTCTGGTTAAGAATGGTGTCGAGAGCGACAGCAGTCTTACCGGTTTGACGATCACCAATAATCAACTCACGCTGACCACGACCGATGGGAACCATGGAGTCGACAGACTTGATACCAGTCTGCATAGGTTCGCGAACGGAGTGACGGGGCAAAATACCGGGGGCCTTGACTTGGACACGAGTACGGCCAATGCTGTCGAGAGGACCCTTACCATCAATGGGGTTACCAAGGGCATCGACAACACGACCAAGAAGACCGGGACCGACGGGAACGTCAACAATAGCACCGGTACGCTTGACAGTGTCACCTTCCTTAATCAAACGATCGTTACCGAAGACGACAATACCGACGTTATCGGGTTCCAAGTTAAGGGCCATACCCTATAACAAAAAAAAAAAACGTTGATCAATAATCGTATTTCAATCATCAACACGGTGGACAACCTATTCAGTACCTTAAGACCGCTGGAGAATTCAACCATCTCTTCGGCCTGGCAGTTCTTCAAACCATAGACACGGGCAATACCGTCACCAATGGACAAGACGCGTCCAGTCTCCTGGATATCGACATCTCCGGAGGCACCAAGGATGCGTTGCTCGAGGATGGAGGAGACCTCGGAAGTCTGGGGCTTGGCAGAAGCGTAGTTGCGGACAGCAATGGAGGCAGCACCAAGGTTGAGACGAGTCTAAGATTAAAGGTCAATTAGTAAATAGAAAGATGATGATGTTGGCGAAAGAGGGAGCAATGTTGAGAGAAATAGTGTCGCTTTGAGTTGTAAAATAACGGTTGTCCATACGCGAGATTGTCGAGGCAATTCACCATCCAGTCATGGGGAAAGGTTTCACCATGATGGCCCTTGTATTGTTGACATTGGGTGGACGAAGGGGAAATAGTAGGGATGATAATAGTCAAGTATTAGATACTCACAGCGGGAGCAGCGGCTCTACGGACAGTGGCCGCAAGGGCAGAACGAGCGACAGTTCTCAACATTTCAAAGTTGTTTGTTGTAGAAGAAGAGGGAAGCGTCCTTCAACCCAAAACAAAAAATTGTATCCAACCGGCAGCGGCCCCAGGGCAAACTTGATGACGTCGACAAATCTTTTTTTTTCTCTGTAGTGGAAAAATTTCATCCAACCTGCCATGCCATTGTCCGCTCATCTAAAAGACAGTCAAGCCTTGTCAAGCCAAATAGACCAGCTGCTGGATACTCTGGCATGGGATAAGCAAGAGTTACTATCATGGTACAAGGTAAGAGACGAAGCACACGTACATATCATCTGGATTGACTATGTTAATGTTGCTGTGGCAGACCAGGGCCAACCTCAAAGTGTGCCGGATGGACGAGAGTCATATTTTTCCGTCGACGTCGTATGCCAAACACAGTATGCGTTGCCAGCGTGTGACCTATTCCAAAGTGCCTGAGGTAAATGATGGATTCAAACGACAAGCGTCCCATAGTCACTCAATAACATTTTATTCCTATATAGCCGAAAAGCTCTGTGTCATTCTATACCCAGTGTCGCAATGTGGTATCCTTTGTACAGGACCCAGGTGAGTACACTATAGACCGTAAAGGCTGATACCCATTGTCGGAAGGGATGGCCATGCTGATATAAATGGGTGTCCAACAGCTCAAGCACCCACAAGCCAACACCCCGTGCAACTTCTACCAGATAGAGCCAGCTACGCACAATTAGTGGATATAAGCCGAGCTGTTACAAAGAAAGACATCGATCGCGCAGAGATACTGCCTGACTTGGTTCTGAGAGAAAAAGAGAGACGAGGTAAGTGGATGGTACAACAGTCTATGGTATGCGACTCATGTCACTTATGGCGAACATAACAGAACGAGAGAGTGCATTAGCAAAAAGCCGAGAACAAAGACTAGCTGATGAGAGAGACTATAAACGACGAAGGAAGACTTATAGAACCAAGAGTGGGCAAAAGAAGGCTATTGAGGTGGGTTCATAGGAAGGAATGGGCCGGCCTTTGAAGGATACGCGTGTTAACGATGATACCAGATACAACGAGACTTGGTGGAAGGATACATGAATGATCTTTCGATATTATATGATAGACGACGATAGTAGTGGTAGTTGTTTATTGATTCTTTGCTTCGTTCCTTTACTTGAAGTTGTAGAGCTTTGTAAATACATAAAAATACGTTGTGAGGTCTGTCCCAAAGCGGAAGCCAAGACGAATGACGTCCGAATTTTCAGGCAGTGCGACATCGCGCCCGACAAACTCACTCAGCTAAACTCCCCATCCTCTACGAAATTCACTTGTCTGTTCTTCCATCATGAATGCATCCAAGACTCTTGTAGTGGACAACGGAACAGGAGTAAGTCTGCTTTTCCATCCCAGTCACCACATATCCCTAACCATCACCCACCCACCCATCATGCAACTAACACCCGCTTCTCCATCCACTTCTCCTCATTAGTTTGTCAAGTGCGGTTATGCCGGCTCCAACTTCCCTGAATACGTCTTTCCCTCCGTCGTCGGTAGACCCATTTTGCGCGCTGAAGAAAAAGTCGGCAATGTCGAAGTGAAGGATCTTATGGTCGGTGACGACGCAGCCAGTTTGCGCAATATCCTGCAAATGTCATACCCTATGGAGAACGGAATTATTAGAAACTGGGAAGATATGCGCCATTTGTGGAATTATACATTCGATGAAAAACTCAAGGTCGACCCTAGAGACTCCAAAATCTTGCTCACCGAAGCTCCTATGAACCCACGCGCTAACCGTGAAAAGATGGTCGAGGTCATGTTTGAGGAGTATGGTTTCCAGGGAGTCTATGTCGCCATCCAAGCCGTCCTTACACTTTATGCTCAGGGTAAGCTATTGAATAAGCTAAGTTGGTCAGAACGCGCAACGTGCCCAAGCTTATCTCACTGCTTGATTTGTTTAGGTCTTCTTTCCGGTGTTGTCGTCGACTCTGGTGATGGTGTTACTCACATTGTACGTCTTGTTGCTTTTTCATGCCGTTCCATACTTTCGTTTGGCTAAATTGCTCTCTCCTTTAGGTCCCTGTCTATCAAGGTTTCGCACCACAAAACTTGACTCGCCGTTTAGATGTGGCTGGTCGTCATATAACGAGACATCTTATCAAGCTTTTGCTCAACCGAGGTTATGCCTTCAACAGAACCGCTGATTTCGAGACTGTTCGTCAAATCAAGGAGAAGTTGTGCTACGTCAGGTAGGTTATAGTAACATGTTACCCAGCCAGGCAAAAGTACTAAGAACTCATATGGTGCAGCTATGACCTTGAGCTGGACTCGAAGCTAGGCAATGAAACCACTGTTTTGGTGGAGGAATATGAACTTCCTGATGGTCGTGTCATCAAGGTTGGATCAGAAAGATTCGAGGCACCAGAGTGTATGTTCCAGCCTCACTTGGTCGATGTTGAAGCACCCGGTGTTGCAGGTATGACCTTCAACCATGACTTTTTAACAAAATGGTTCATTCCCCTCATCAAATCTCCTTTTCATAGAAATGCTCTTCAACACTATCCAGGCTGCTGATATTGATATTCGTTCCGAACTCTACAAGCACATTGTCCTTTCTGGAGGCTCAACCATGTACCCTGGTTTGCCAAGCCGTCTTGAAAAGGAAGTGAAGCAATTGTATTTGACGAATGTCCTTGGTGGTGACGCAAGTCGATTGAGCGTAAGTGTGGTCAACGTACCGTAATGCAGACCCGCGCATTATTCAAACCTCTTCGTTTTCACAGAAATTCAAAATTCGCATTGAGGACCCCCCAAGACGCAAACACATGTAAGTATTTTGCACAGTTATTATTATTTTTGGCTTCTGTGTCCTAACGCGTTATGAATAGGGTCTTCCTTGGTGGTGCTGTTCTTGCTGATATCATGAAGGATAAGGATTCATGGTGGATTACCAAGCAGGAGTGGGATGAACAAGGAGTTCGATCTTTGGAGAAGCTCGGCATTGTTGGCTCCAGCGGATAGATATAATGTATTTTGTGATATTGCTTACGTTTTCAAAAAATGTATATTTTTTTTTGCGTAAACGGACTTGGATTTTTTTGGCTGATGATAATAATCAGAGCATGTTATTACTTTTATAGAAGACCATGGCTGCTATGTGATGAGATGAGAGAATAAGGGTAGATGCCTTGAACCAATATCAGTACTGCTTTTCGGTACCTTTGGCCATAAATTTGCCAGTCACAAGCCCCGCCTCGAGTATAAAATTTTTCATTTTCCTCGGCAAACGAGTTCTTTACCCTTCGCAAAGTTTTACAGTTTCATCATTTACTTCATGCTCGTTATGGTTGCCAAGAGGAGGTTGGAGAGCATTGTTGTAGCGTGGTGGGCTGGTCATGTTTTTCGGGGTATTTTTTATGGCCTTTGAAATGGTTAGCTTTGCAAGAGTGATCTCGCTCCCGGCTCTTTTATGGGCAACAGGATGGATGTCTACAGCTTAACGGCCATTGTATTCGTCTCCTTTACTTCCTCTGTTGGGACATTCACCACTTTACAAATCAAAAAAGAAAATAAATATTTTACTATGACCTTTCTGTCACTCGCCGAAAATTTTTCATACCCATCAATAAAGCAATGTCATCTAATCCAAATTTATGTCCGTATTAAACAACATATTCCGCCGCTGCACAACCATATAACTTCAATACTCTGATTCAAAATGTGAAGGATTCAAGAATATTATATTGAAATCTGTTTTTTCTTTAATAAAAAGGCAAGAATTACATCTGAAATATACAATGACTGAAAGGTTTTTCTTCTAAAACAGATCGACTTTTTCAATCAGATGAATGTACAACCATAGGTTTCTATGAGGTAAAGGAGATGAAGGCGTTTACATGGCATACATGACAGCAGCCACAGGAGCGGCGATGGCGAGGGCTCCAACAGTAAGTTGACCAGCACCAGAAGTGGAGCTAGAGGAGGAGGATGAAGATGCAGAAGGCACAGCAGAAGAAGCACTGGCCATCATGCTGCTGGCTCCGCTAGCCATGCTAGACATGACGGGCATGCTGGCGGAGGCTGCTCCACTAGAGGTGGCAGCACTGGAAGCAGCAGAAGGCATACTAGCTGAGGCAGCACCAGAATCAGCGGCACCAGAACCGGCAGCACCCGTGGCAGCGCCAGTAGCAGCGCCGGAAGCAGCAGTTCCAGCAGCATCCGTACCAGTGGCAGCAGCACCAGTGCCAGTGGCAGTTCCAGAAGCATCAGCACCACCGGGTACAGAAGCACTTGGTTCGGCAGCAGTGCCATCGGAGCCATCAGCGCTAGAGCCATCAGCACCAGAGCCATCAGAGCCGCTAGCTTGTCGCTTAACTGGAGCAGCGGGTGTACCAGAGTTTCCGGAAGGAGCACCTCCTGATGGAGCGGCACCAGAGGGAATTGCACCTCCAGAAGGAGCGGCGCCAGAAGCAGCGGCACCAGATGGAGCGGCTCCAGAGGGAGAGCCAGAAGCAGATCCCTTACCACCTTGAATGGAGAATGGACCAATGTATGCGACTTGAGGTGGAGTACCAAGAGCCAAAGCATAGTCGGCACCGCTGGTCACGTTGGCGGGAACAGTGACATTGACATGGCCGGACTTTGTGTTAACGTTTTGGTCTAATAATTGAACAGGCTGCAAGGCGTTGGCTTGTCCTTGCATCAATTGAATTTGACTAAGGACGTCGGAAGCAGCGTTGGTCCAAGAGATGGTCTCTTGTTGACCAGCGTGCCAGGTTGTACCGGTAAGTGGAGCTGTGATGGTGACGGGCTGAGATGAAGCTCCTCCAGATGGAGCAGCACTGCCAGCTCCAGCGGATCCAGAAGGAACGGATGCAGGGACGCTACCGGTTGGAGCACCGCTTTGTGCGGCAGCAAGAGACATGACGGAGCCGATGATTGAAACGAAAAGAGCAGACTTCATTGTTGTGTAGGGAGGAGATGATGAAAATAAAATCTGTAGGAAATTCTCTCGCCTTTTATAGCCTCTATAGGATACTGCCAAGCGTATGATGAATGGCTCAGATCCCTTTGAGACCCAGAGCCTCTCTCTCCATCATAGTGGATCGGGGAACCATTGTCCGACGGTCTAAGAGGTGTATAAGCCTAGTGTGACTGCTGAGCCCGACACTGTCAATGGCCGATCGACCTGAGCTTGACATCATTCTTGGCAACTTTCTAGACTTTAATGGAGAGATTTCATAAACAAATGTAAAAATAAAATTGGTTCCTGGCTCATCCTCTAAGTCAATGTTTCTAATTATTCTGCAAAGTACGTAATTGGGTCAATCTTAGTCCCCAAGGCTCTCGCTGAAACCATAATGCCTATTTTAATTGCACGGACGCCCCTACCCTACCTTTACAGCACCATCAACCTGATTTGTCATTATCATTTCAAGGGAAGCTATTGTTGATGGAAGGTCGTATACAACAAAAGATAGTCAGCTCCGTCCGTCCACCTTTGCTCATGTCGTCAGTCAACAACAAACTGCCTTGTATGGTATGAGCCAAATGGAGAGCCACATATGGGGCGCTCAGAGACCGTCTAATGCTCTAAAATGCGAGCTAAATGCCATGTAATGTAAGAATAGAACACTCGTTATCTAAAGAATGGGTGTCCCTTTAGTTTTAGTGATTATGCAAGACTGTCTGTTCAGATGCCGCGCAAGAACCCAGCACCATGAAATTTGGCTTATTCACGGCATGGCTCCAGACTTCATTTTTATGGCACACACTAGGAAATAATATCAGTGAATAAATCTTAACGACGATCAACAGTAACCAGTTTCATTTCGGGTCTGCAATTCCATGCTCGGTCACCAACACTAAGAAACTTCCCTACGCCTAATTTGTTATTCTTTATTAAACATAGCAACACAACTTTATGGAGAATTTCTCTGTTGCATAAAGAACTATCACGCTTTTCGTATCGGTAAGCCCTATCTTTACACCGAGCATGATCATCCCTGCAACGAATATACCTTTCGTATAGCGTTAATACTAATTAAAGCCAGGTTACTCCATCAGCCGTCCATAAGAGAGGACTCAAACATTCCAGTTCCCATCTAAAATGCTTTTCCAAATAGTATCTCCTCAATCCATTTGATTTCAAGTTGACTAGTGATGTTTGTAATAACCTCGTGCAGAGTATGTGACATACACGAAATTCTCGACCTCGCCAACCACCGATATTCTGAGTTGGAATGCGCGACCCGTGAAATAAACAGTATACTTGTTTGGTGGATCCGATGCACCGCGATGACCGCGACTTAGTGGATTGTCTCTGTCGCTCCTACTAAATGAGCACCAGCGATTCCAATGAACCATTGCAATGTGAAGAAAATGCGCTGTTCTGATCTCATATTGACTGATATGGAACAGATCTGTCAGCCACTAGGAAGCTACCGTTACGTGAAAGCTAGTCTGTGTTACCTTATTTTGGAGTCTTTACCTTTCACTTTGTCTGTGAAGATATGAAGCTATATGGTAAATCAAAAAAATTTGCCAGTGGATGGGCCGCTTACTGACTCTACGGCACTAAAGTGATGACGATGTTTCCATCTCCTCGATACTTTAAGGTAAGTATCATAAGCTATATAGAAATTTACCTCTCAAATTAAAAGTTTATGATATTCCAAGTCAAAGCATGTTGCAGGGCTATACAGTTGTATAATGTTTGGTCACCGCTCAATACACATGGTCCTCAGTAGCGTCATGCGTGTCATAATATTCGCACTGAGTTGTGTGCATTTGTATAAGTATTCCGCCATTCAAAATTCTACTGCTCATCGATTAAAATGAATCTTCTGTATCGGTATGTATTGCATCAAATCAAGGAGGGTACTTATGTCACTGACCCTTGCGCCAGGACTGCTTTGTATAGATTATATAGGCTTGTGAGTAGTAGGAAAGCTTTCATCACTATCCTCCAACAAACCCATTACTGTCAAAGCGCAAAGTCAATAAACGATCTTCTTTTCCTATCAATAATCTGTTAGGTGTGAAAGTGCCAAACACTAGCCTGGGTAACGCAAAATTATGATGGCGGCAATAGAATACATAAATCTTAGGAGAACATCCTGTAATACGCGTCCCTTAAAGAAATGGGAAAACAAGCTATATGCTAAATGAGCATGATCCGATCTTGTAGTATTTAAGAGTCATTGTATCTTTTCACCCACCGTTGATTCCATTACGACAAAATAACGAAACTCATTCTTGTCACACTAGCTTTGCTCTCTTGCGCTCAAGTTGGCTTGTCCAGTTTGGTTCAAGGATTCGATATTAGCAATTACAATCCCCATGTAAACTGGGCATCGGTCAAGGCTACCGGACTTACATTTGTCTATATCAAAGCAACCGAGGGATTGAAAATGGTCAGCAGTACATTTAACACTCAGTACCTCGGTGCAACCCACACACGCTTTATTCGTGGAGCATACCATGTTGCCCTGCCTGACAAGTCTTCTGGTGCTGCTCAGGCAACCCATTTCCTTTCTTATGGAGGTGTCTGGACTGCTGATGGAATAACTCTTCCTGGTGCGTTAGAATTAGAGCGAAACCCTTATGGGAATCCTTGTTATGGCTTGTCCCCGGCCTCTATGATAATCTGGATTAGAGACTTCAGCAATACTTACCACGCTCGCACTGGCCGTTATCCTGTTATCAGCACATCCACGAATTGGTGGAAGGCATGCACTAATGACAATCCGAGCTTTGGTAATACCAATCCGCTTTGGATCATTAGCTATTCTCCGTCGCCCAGACCCTTACCCAACGGTTGGACTAACAATGTCTTCTGGCAATATGCTGACAAGGGACCCGTGCCTGGATACCCAGATGCATGGATGAGCTCAATAGATAATCTGCAAAGGTTTGCCAGGGGTTAGCTGGAAGATGCCGAGGTCATTCACATGAGAGCGCTTTCAAGACATTCTGCATTAGTAGCATTCCTTCTTACTTTTATGTATTAGTACATATATCGAAATGTCTCAATATAGAGGAATTGAAAGTATATCTATGATGAGTGTGTATAATATTGATGCAACTCAAACAATATGTAAACTATATTGCAACTCTATGCTAATGAAAAGTACATAGCATATCTGTTAAATTCATACTGGCTTCATAAAGGCCACTCCTGTGTGACATGAAAGATTTGTATCCAGATCTTAGAATGCTGAGTATTTCGCTCGTATTGCTTATGTTGTATAAGCAATAAGGAGATGACTCGTTATTGTTATGATTTTTTTAGCGTTGATGTGAAATCTTGGACGAAGCTGTGAAGCATTGGATATCAAGTCTTTGATCAGTGCGCCTGTTGTGCGAGCAGCTCTACTGCTAGGTAGTATGGATGAGATGAACACGGTGTGATTCTTCAAAGATAAGTGAATTACATTAGTTGCAAAAATATGCTTCAATTTGAAATGATGACATGCCGACCAGCCCGTCACCAATGATCACCAAGTTAGAAACAAGGTTATCTGGCACCGAAACGAGCCGGTCAAATGCAGCAGGTAATGAGGAACACATATCATTGATCTTCATGTTACCAACCATTTCACACTATCACTAGCAAATTGGGATTACTGGCAAGTAATATCAATCGACCTTCAACAGCAAAGCATCATGAGAATAGCTCCTTCGCGTCTTCTCAAAATGCGCTCATGAAGAGAGTCGTCAACCGATCCCCATTTTTCCAAAGATGAACCCCAAAGATCAAAACATCAACTAAGCCTTTATTTGCTGAACAACCCTTCCAAACTACATGCCTTACTTCTCTACAATCCATCTATGCCTTCTGTTCATAAAATGATGCACAATCTGTGCAAGCGAAACACTATGAGTGGTTTCAATATCGGTTTGACTTTGCGGCTTGTACCTACTCGTCCGGCTTTCCTGCCTTTGGCGGATAGTCCTTGCCTTCTACTTTAACTGCGGGCTCACATTTGCATCGTTCTTCCTCTGGGACAGAGTCCATGACGGAGGGAATATGGTATCCGCATCCCCACCAGGAGCGCTTGCCTGGAATACAGGTTAGATATGCGAAGAGACGTCATTCAGATTGTAGGCATACTTACCGCAGGTATCACAAGTTGCCTTTTTGCACATGACGAGTTTTGTCTGTGTAGAAGAAAGAAGTGTCTGGCGAAAAACGGGGAACAGATATAATTCACGCAAAATGTGTTCGCCGATTAGATGGTCCCCGAGCCACGTGATGGGCTGAACGCCTATCTGAATTGCTGGTTTAAACTGGGTATTGTGTGGTGGAAACAATTCAGTGAAACATTACTGATCAAGTCGATCACTCGAATTTGAGCTTGACATTTCGCTGTGCCATACCATTAACCATTACTGTGTAATGTTCGTAGTGTCGAAATTGGTGTATAGCTCGGCTATTTAATCACACAGTCTTTGGATATTCAATTATTCGTGCGTTATATTTCAGCGCTCTAAGTACTCTAAACATTATACAAAACTAGACCCCTCGTGAGCTTTCTTGGGAAGCAGCATCAAAGCGGTCACAAGTGTCTTGCCAGTAGCACTTATAACGAGTGCAGAAGGGCTTCCAATTTTAGAGTACATGAAAGCCCCTGCAAATCCGCCAGCAATGAGTGCAACGAGAAAAAGAGCCCTTCTATCCCGGGGATGGTTCTTCGTTTTCAGCAATTTTGGGTCAATAACCAGATCCACCCAAGCAGCTGTAGCCATTGCCGTGGTAATTTCTTGAACTCGGAAAGCTCTTGCCGCTGCAACTTGAGCACCAGAAGAAAACGCCAGCAAGGCAACTACTGCCAGAGCCCACGGTCCGGTCTCCTGCACATCATGGGCATACTGGATTCCAGCTGCTCCGAATATCATCATTGTCTGCGCCAAATTTGTAATAAACTGCCATCCACGTCTTCTTCCTCCCACATAATTCCCCAGTTGGCCTGTAATAGTTGCACCAGCGAGAAACATACCAAGGGACATGGCGATATTCGGAAGATGGAAGAGCGAATCCTTTTGGGAGGCATAATAGTTGTAATTGGCAATACCGACAGCGAGCACCACGGTGTTACCCGTTTGATTGGATGCGAAGCAGCGAAAGTCAGGATACGATATAGCGTCCTGTAATCCAGTACAGAAAGTCGCAAGGAGCAGTTGAAACTCGACGAGAGAATCTACGCTTAAATCGAAAAGCGAATACTGCCAGAGGGAGTTCAAGTGCGGCCGAATTTGCCGAAATGCGTTGCTTGAGTCAACGTCATTCGTTGTAGATATGGTTCCTTCGTCAAATTTAATCTCCTCTGTCATCATCAACGTTGTTACGAGGACAATTGGGTGGTGGCCCTTTTTAAAGAAATTATCCAGCTTTGGGCTGCTCAGTGTGAATAAATGATCGGCGACCGAAGAAATTTTTGTCAGCACTCAAGAATGCCGAAACTTTTCAAGTCAATCAAAGAATATGAAGCGAAATCTCGGCCGAGATAGCTCAAAGCTTTATTTAAAGAAAGTGATGATTTAATACAATGTTGTATTTTCTTTTAAGATTTAAAGTTACGGAGATAAGGTATTCATTGTACCCTAACCACGCTTGCAGGCACCTTCACTATTTTAAATCCATCTTCACTAGACTGTGGCAGACGGCCGCCTCGAATATTGGTCCTGATAGATGGAACAAGTAGCTTTGGTGTTTGGAGGCCACTGTCTCTCTCATTTCTCCAATTCACAAACTCTTCTTCGGAGGTACCGGCCTTGAGATGCTTGTTTTCAAGCCGCTGCTTTCCTACAGTTGTAAAGGGAACGGCCGTTGACTCATCTGATGCAACATTAATAGAACGATCAGGTGGTGGGTAGTCATGTCCAGTATACAGCCTGTAGTACTCTGGAAGACTAAGAAGCCTTCGTGTAGATTGATAAAGAGTTGTGGCCGAACCGCCAGGAAAGTCACATCTAGCTGAACCAACATCCGGGTTGAAAATGGAATCGCCCGTAAAGACATTGCTTCCTATGATGTAGCCAACGTGGTCGGGTGTATGTCCAGGCAAGTGAATAACACGGATAATGAGATTGCCAAGAACTAATTCTTCCTCGTCTTGCAGAAGTCGGTCAAATGCATTCTCAAGTTCTGCTTGCGGTATAGAGTACATTGTGCCGAAAGTCTGTTGGACTTGTACGATGCGATGCCCAATACAAACCTCAGGCGCAACAGATTGACGATGTCCTAGGACGCTTTGGAGGTAACGAGAAGCTGAAAGATGGTCAGCGTGCGCATGTGTCTCCAAGATGTAGCAGATTTTGTATTTGTTGTCTTCAACCAGTTTGAGAAGGATGTCTGCTGAGTTAATGTCGATATCACCACTTTCTTTGTCATAGTCAAGAACTGGGTCAATGATCGTAGCTTCTCGCTTTGATGGGTCAGCAACAACGTACTGCCAGGTGCCAGTGACTGGTTCATATAGGGAGTGTACGATTGGATCCATACTTGAGGAGAAAATTCTAATTAAAAAAAAATGATAAATCACTTGAACAAGATCACTATTTATCGGATTTGAGGGTTCAGGCTTGTCCCCGATAATACACTGGAAGCGGGTGAACATCGCCGACCGGTTCAAGGGAATGAAATCCGAAATGCAGGTTTCAGATGTGCTCAACATACGAATGTGCGAAGGATGTACGAATTAAAGCAAGGTCTGGATACTCTGTTTTATTAAAGGTCTGTCTACTTTAAAATTAACTGAGTAATAATACCAGCACCAAACATGGACGCCGTAGTAATTAGACTCGAAAATGACATGGCTGCCAAGCCAGACAGTCCATGACCTGAAGTGCAACCACCTGCTATTCTAGCGCCAACAATAAGAATAAATCCACCTACAATGGCCTGAACATGTGTTATAGGTACAGTTCCGGCGTTTGCAAGTGTCGGTAAGAGCGGACCAGAAACTGCACTACCAATCAGTATACCCAGCGCAAAGAGGATGGACTTTGGTGGAAAGGGTGGTTGTGGAACATCCTTAAACCTAATAACTCTGCAAAGATAGCTGCCAAGTTGTTGGTAGGCGTTTGAAACACCTAGAGGGCTTGATGTCAAGGAGATCGAGGCTACTTGAGCAGCGCCTATGAGCAATCCACCAACCACGGTCGGCAAGATTGCAAAAGTCTTTCCAGGTAACAACAAAGCGGATAATGCAGTAGAAGTAACCACAAGGGCTTCAAAGGTCAACAAAGTTGCTGAAGGCGATGTGTTGAACTTTGACGAAATAGTATGATTGGTTTGGTCAGCTGGAACCTCGTCTTTGCTCAAACGGCTATTGAAGACCAGCGACTTTCCGAATTTTGCGTAGATGGCACCACCTAGTACTGCACCTAGGGCGGTCGAACGTGCGGATTCTATTCCCTGAGCAAGCTGAGGAAGCACAGTTCCAGGGCATGCTCCTGTTAGGCCCATGCCGACACCTAAGAGACTACCACCAATGATGTTTCCGTCGTAGCGGGAGAACCAACCGAGAGATGAATTGGTTCTGACAGACCGTTTAGCAATGCCGAACTTCTCAAATCCCAACATAATGAGTCTGGAGTTACTGTGAGTATCATCGTATTGGCAGATCATTTATGTCAAGTTAACTTACGCGCTAGATGCACTGGCAGTCAGGAACACCTCTAACATATGAAAATCATGGAGTCTCAATTGGTTGATGATGACTGTTGGTATGTAGACTCGGGATAAAGTCAAGGCAGCACCAAAGACCACGCCAGCGCTAGTAGATTTTAAGCTATCCATACTTTGTAAAACACAGTTCCGACAATGAACCCCTTTTTATCTGACAGGTATTCCATTTTTCGGGCTTCGGGATATGACGTCACGGTCTCTGGTCCCCGAGGTTTGAAAAAGTTGGTCTCTCAAGTATTTCAAGTAGCACGTTTTGTATGGGTTCAACAGACTCCAATGTCATGAAGCCGAGCCCGAAGGCATGTCTCGCTTGTCGGAACAAACATGTCAAATGCGATGGTCGGATTCCGATATGCACACGGTGTACTTCGACAGGTAGCGATTGCGTCTACGTGGAATCCCGGCGAGGCTATCGAGGTCCAAAAAGAAAACACCTTGAACAGCCCCCAAGAGATCATACGGCAACAAGTGGCGGCTCTGATTTTTCGTTCGATCTGCTTCAAAACTTATCAGTACCACTTTCTACGGCTTCGTTATCATCAACAGACGATACAATTTCAGTTGATCGAGAATTCAGCGACGATGATGACAGCACATATTTGATCGACTTATACTATCAGTTCTTTCATCCAGCTCATACCATTATAATACCGCCACGTATCTATTTACAGCATCATGGCATAATCCCCAAACATCTGAAAAAAGCAATGCAAGCCGTCGGCTGCCACTTCACTTCAAAGAATCCAGAGCCATATCTCAATGTAGTCATGGAAATTCTCACTTCAGATGCACCAGATGATGCATTCAAAGTTCAAGCTCTTCTCATTCTAGCAATAACTTCTTTTGCTCGGTTGGAAAGAGAAGCCGGAGGAATTATGCTGACACAGGCCCTCGATGTTGCGAAAAAGATCGGTCTCAACGATGTAAATTACGGGCTAGGTGAGCAAGCGCTGCTCAGGGAGAGCTATAGGCGTACGTGGTGGGAACTTTATACAATAGTCGGCATTGCTTCGTTGATCATGCCTTTTGGGTTGAAAGTGGACATCGCATGGAACTTGCCATTGCCCTGCCACTGTGAGGAATACAACAATGGCCAAACTTCACCAACAAAGACTCTGCAAGATATGCAACATCGCTTTCTGGTGGAGGGAAGCTTTTCCTGGTCGTCATTCGCATACAAGGTTGAAGCGGTCCGCATTATGACTAACATCATCGATTTAAGTGGTGACCCTTGGGCCACTCAGTCACAGGTTGACGCAGCCGAGATCTCTATTGCAAATTTTTGGATGGACTTACCTGTTCCCAAAAGGGACGTTATCTCTCGCTCCGGTAAAACCGATGAGGTTCTTTTTTGTGCGCATATGCTTATAAGCCTTGGTAGCATTTGCCTTCATCTTCCCAGATCAGGAATGCAAAGTATACAGCACTTCAAAACGAGTTGTTGGACTGATAGAGCAAGAAAAGTCGATGAAAATACAGCAAGTCATAAAGCAGCCGCCATCAAAGCCGCATCTAGATTGACTCGCCTCATGTCTGCTGGGCAGTCTACTAAGACGCATACACCGTGCTTTGCGTGTGCCATCGCTTTTGCGACAGCGGTGCAGTTGCCGGCCTATAAGGAAGAAAATGAAACTTTTGTGGCCCAAATGTTGAAGGAGCAAATTCAGCTCGCTATCAGTACTCTCCGACAAATTGGAGAGACATGGCCCATTGCAAATGTCGTAAGGTTGCAAGTTGCGCAATACGCTCGAGAGGTTATAGGCAAACCAATTCTCCCTGTTGTCAACAGACCATTGACTCTGGAGTCAGCTCCTACGGCTGCAGACCCGATACTTGGAAACCAAGAGTGGTTACAAGAGCTGTTACGAGGCGCCTCCCAAATGGACGATTTGATATTTGAGAATGGCGGCTATCCCACGCCGTCACGAGAATGAGCAATCACATACCCATGAAGTGCACGGCAACTTCCAACGCTCATGAGCAGAAATGTTCAACACTCGTTGTTGTATGTAGGTCAAGTTTGATGGATTGGCTAGTATGAAGGCGAATATGGCTTTTGTGAAGCTGCGGCTATTGCTGTCTCCATCGCCTGATCATTCAGCATATATTGGTCACCAGTTGAAATTGATAACGTGTCAGTGACTCATCAGATTAGCACCCACAAACCAACCAATATGGATCATGATGTGGCGGGTCAAGGATTCAGCTGTAGTATCTTAGCAATGGTAGTTGGTGTTGTGGTGTTCGCAATGGTGGGATCAATGTATATTACTTCTCTGCTGCGCACTCTTCAGAGAAAATGTGGTAATAGGGCTTTGTACTGTTGCAAGTATGGTACTTTCACAGTGGGTTCCAAGAAAACAGTTATGACGAGGCTCAAGTTAGACATGCAGATTTTTGTCTTATTGTATCAAAAGATGTATATTCGTTTATGTAGAATAATAATGTAAATAAAAAGTGTAAAAAAAAAACAAAAGCAAATGCCAATGACAATGGTATGTATCATATCTACAGATTCAGTGGATGGTATATTTTGGTACGTGTTAGGGTGTAATGGATATCAGGACAGTGTTGAATCCATGGAATCAGCCATTCATACTAAACATGTTTGAAGTTGTAGTGGTGTTGGAGGAACTTCTTTACATCCTGGACATTCCCATTGTAAGAGGCGTGCTGAAGGGAGTTATCAGAATCTTGCCTTTAGATGATTTGCTTGAACTTGAGCTATTGCTTTTGATGCTTTGCTTCGTCTCGTTGGACTTGGCTTGCTTTGAGTTGGGATCGACCTTGATTCCTTTCTTGAAGAATTTCATGCTTTGAGAAAAGTGTACTATGATTGCTATAAGATCTTCATCACTTCGATAGATGTAGACTTATATACTTTTTGAACACTTCCGTCGCGCCGTCCAGGTCATGAAATTTCTTACTCAGCAAGTGATCCACCATGCGCGCGCTTTGATCGTCCTCGACTGCGGTCGTGAAGTGACGACAACACATTTTACGTCAACTGCCGTGCCCTGGTCTCACAAGCTCACGGTTGGTCAAACTGTTAACAGGAGTGTCACATGTGCATTCCTTTAGGTAGTTAATCTTGCCTGAACGTATCTATCTAAAGATGTATGCTGATTGTTGGAGGACAATAGCTTCGAGCGGTTATAACGCTGGGCATGCGTTTCCTATTTTTGGGTGGAACACGTTCCGCAGCGTCAATATGGGAAATGTGTCGTTTTTTGACTGCCAAAGAATTTTTTTCCCCGCCGCACCGGCTCTCATTGCTGCGGCCAGCTTCTTGACATGCCCGTTTCATTATAGGTAGGGATCATACCAATTTGGTGATTATCGGTGTTTGTCATTTACTCAAAGTGCGTCAATGATAATATGCCATTGCAATTCCCTGCACCGCAGCAAGACCCGAATATAAAGGTTACCATATTTGACATTTGTTTGCCTGGTGGCAAAGTAGTATCGATAAGATATGATATCGCAACGAAAAATGATAGTTTTATAATTCCCAAAAGTGCATTGTGCTGTATTATGATCGATGCATAAAAAATCATCGCCGCATGCGTGATATCCATCTTGATAAAGTCAAATCAAGAACTGCTGGAAAGTAAATACGTGGCGGATACACCGCGCATTCGGCGTACACATTGACCTCCAACCCCAGGCCACTTTCATTTGTTTCCGCTAAACCTAGTGCGCTTTTAAGTGCTCCGGTGGTCGGTAATTTGCCTTAAGCTTTCCAAATTGTCGTCTCCTCTGGTTTCATTACCGACTTCATACACTTAAATGGATGAACACGGATATATAGATACGTCCTTATACTTTCTGAACGATGGTATGAGATTTTGTTCTAAATTTTTTTTTTTAAAAAGTGGTATAAACGTCAGGCAAAACTGAATGTATGAAATGGAGAGAATCTTAGAAACTGTTGGTTTCCTGCACTGAAGGTATAAATAATAGTATACAAGTTGGAAGTGGCGCTGTTTCAACGGCTGCCAAAGGTTATCGCAGCGTAATTCGCTCTGATAGAGCGGGGTAAAGATGCAGATGGTAGTGAACGGTTTAGGGCATAACTAACCGCGCAGCATCGTTGAGCTGATGTTGCTTTGGCCGTGTCATCACTTTTCCATAACACCTGGTACCCTTCTGTAGATGTCTGTGCTGTACACCGGCTTGTCAGTAGTTGAGAATCCTAACAGCAATACGAAATGTAGTTACAAAACATCGATTTGTTGATGATTCGAATTCCGAAGAGCTTTACGAAATGTACCTTAGTCGTCGCAGGTAGTTCGTTTCAAATCGAGAGACACTGCAAGCTACACGTATGTCAATTTTAGTATTTGACATGAGGCGGCTACCTTGAGCACTTTCTCATCTGGAAGTCTTCACAATTTGCGCCCTGGTTGCTTACACCATATTCTGCATGATTGCATTGCTTGTCGGTATTTGGCGGGCTATTTACATACTTTCACCATCCCAATGACAAGACTAGGTTGGTTAAAGAGAAAGGTCTATGGACAGCTTGTAAAGTTAACCTGCAGCCACGATCTGTTGCAGAGTCGCAATGTCGAACGAATTTGTAAAATGCGGATAAGTGAAAAATATTTACCATGCCTCCTCATTTTGCCATTCGAGATATGGATTAATGATGCTCTCGCAAAGGAATTGTGAACGCATTTTGTCATTGTAACTGAGGACGCTGAAGCACCTAGGGATGGTGAATTTTCCAATGCCGACCCATTAAGCTCGCCGGAGTTTCCATTCCCATGTCGGCACAATTTGCTTGTTTTTCTCTCATAACCACAATAAAAACAACCGCAGCGGCACGCTTTGTCCTCAGCTGTCCGCTATGTACCACATATTCCATACATGCAAAAAATCTTCAACCCTGTTACTATTAACCCCAAAAAGAGTCTTCACTTCCAGCTGTCATGCAGAAAAGTCTAGCAAGAGCTGTAAGGCGGCAAAGCCAAGTATGGTCACGCTCGACTTTTGGTCGGATAAAACCACCTGGCAAAGGACAAGAATTAATACTCTGAGGTGGGTTGTCAAATTCGGATATCAATGGTATTGCCTCAATCGCATTAATTGGTTGATGTAGATGCTTAGTGGGCTGTACAGCAGGTGACTTCAGTACTATGTGGTACTTGCAGTCTGCTTATCCGAGTATGCCGGCTTTAACCTGTACAGCTATGTCGATGGTAAGGTTCAGAGCTTGTATCATGTTTGGAAATGATTTATCTAACAATAGAGTCATGTAGGTTGCGGGAATTACAACGTCCCTTGCTCTTGAGACTGTGCTATTACAACGCTCAATGAAGGTTCCTTATACCGCAGCTTTTAAAACGGCCATGGGCATGAGCTTTGTCTCCATGCTGGCTATGGAAACGGCAGAAAATGTGGTAGACTGGCACTTGACTGGTGGTCAGGTTATGTTGCAAGATCCGAAGTTCTGGTTAGCAGCAGCAGCCAGCGCTGCAGCAGGCTATATTGTTCCTCTTCCATATAATTACTGGAGACTTCGAGCGTTGGGCAAAGCATGCCATTAGGAGAAATAGAACCAGGGAAAGAAAATAAACTATGCCCAGTATTTTGCACTGGTACTGGTAAATGTGAAGGCTTTAGCTAAACAAACTATATGCGAATGTGCCTCACTCTCTTCAGGAGGTTAGAGGCTAATACTAGGCATTGACTCGCGAATCCAGATATTCGCACTTCTAACATGGCTTATCTATAAAAATTTCAAGTGGACCCTTTTTGAGCGAGGATGTAGAATTTAGCCATCTGCGTAAGATTGTTAAAGATTACAGTTTTGAAGTAAATGCTGGTGTTTTTAGAACGCTTTGGATTAAGCGCAATCAAGAGTGATCATCAAGGTACACTTGCAACTTGACATTGGAAACAGCACTTATGACATAAAAGCACACAAAAGCCTATTGTTAAGTAATATTTTGAGATTTTCAGAGAAGGCAAGCAAAGCAGCTGGAGGCTATACAGTCAATGTTTTGTACAGCTTTACCAAACTCCTATTTATTTTAATCGCACGTGCTTTTCAGAACCTCACTCATCCATACGGTTAATATCTTGCAGTTACCTGGCGTGTGATAGTAAACGAAAAGAAAATGTTTTTACACCTTGGCATACTTCTTCAATAGTAGAGTGTTGGCACTGACCTTCATTATTTCAATAATATAAACCTATCGTGTAATTCTCCATTCCTAGTATCACATTCAGTTCCATCAATAATAACAGAGTATACTTATATCTCATGAACCACTGGCATCATAATATCAATGTATATTTGCTATCTCCAGTAAAGCCGATTCAAGCGACACAAATATCGGTTGGGCGTGCCTGATCAATACAGGTGGTGTGGCTTTCCATATCGCGGCGCAAAAGTATGTGACATTAGCAAAAAGCCGAAGGATCACACAATCAGAAACCTCCGGTGTACAGGTGTGAGAGCTTCGACAGAAATTGACCCATTCAGACACAACCTCATGTGTGACGGTACGCAATATAACGAGAACCCGATTGTACCTATCCGCTGCCGTCAGGATGTTCCATGCACCTACTTCTTTATCAACCTTCCCCGCTCCTACCCGAAACGATAAAAATCGTCACATACAGTCAATGTACAATGGACAGTATGAAGACCGGTCTACTTTGAACATTCACTTTATCCTTTTATCAATCCACATCCCTGCCATAAGATGTTAGGAAAACGACCATTGCTGGTTAGAGTCAGAAGCTTGTTGTAAGACACCAAGGAAACGAACCCTGAGCAACTTGGTAAGTTGCACGCTGTACAACAGTGAAACAAGTACCACGTATAGTATACTGTATGAATTGACCAGGTACTTGAACTCGAAGGCACATAATATGGCGTCATATGTATGCTTTTACCAGAGGTTAATACGATCGACGACTAGACTCAAGTCGACATCAGTTGCATTTATAAAAATTTGCTGTGATGAGATGTAAAAAACTGGATATGTAAAAGAAAGTTATCAATGATGGTGTGTGGTAGTGAACCCTGATCACAAGTAGGGTCTTCGCTAGACCCTGGCAATTACATTTACTGAAAGCAGTAGCAAGCACGTGTGTCATCAGTATGCACTGATATCGACAAAAAACTAAGAGCAGAGCATTGAATTCAGGACAGAATATACATAATTTATCAATTGATTTCTTATACCGCTGTGAATTACTATTTTTTTTTCTACCATCTTTTTCTTTCAATTCACTATATGCAATCTTCTATTACATGCACTGCATGCAGAGCCACAAGCCTTTGGAAATCTCTAAAAGTTCTCACGTCTACTCAATAGCAACACTTCATGAATATGAAGCAGGCGTCTCAATACGACCTAGAAGAACGATGAGTATAATGGTAGTTATATATCTATCAAGGTTGGGCAATTTTTCATCAATCCACTTATTTACTATGGTCAGAGAAGTCATCCTATGATCTATGCAAAAGTCGTACTTGACTGAGTTCGGTAGAATGTTTAACACCAGGTACACAACCACTAGCACTTAAGAGGGTCCTTGAGCAAAGAAAATTCCAAAAGAAATCGAACTTGCTTTGTAGCACATTTTGGAATACAGGTGTGTAACTCTTGTAATTCAGTGGAAAATGCAATCCACATCATTTTAATAGTAATAACTGGATTACGCGCAGGTAATTACAATGGTGTAACCGAGAGTTTAAGGAAGTTAGTCAGGGTCGCTGCATGGACGATACCACCACATTTGCATTCTTTCTACCCAGAATAGGAGGGCAGGCTTGTTTCGCCACAGTAAAGAGCACCCTTCGTGGCCATAATTTCCATCCCAAGTACGTATGGTTGTGATATCGTAACACTAGACCCTTTAATATTCATCTTCTGTAATACTCATAAACAGTTCATTAAAATCCTCCGACGATCACAATCAGGTTTGGACTTGGAAGGTACAGGGCAGCATGGGTTTTTTAAAGTGTGCTATTATATTTCTTTTTGTGAGAGGATGATTCTTATAAAAGGTTATAGGAAAATGTCGATGCCAATACATCATCAACGCATCCCACTTCCTTTCCTTTAACATGCGTCTTTCTCTGGCTATCTACGCTGCTTTTGCCTCGGTGGCAATGTCCTATCCTCTGGCCAAGCGACAATCTGGTCTTCCTGCTTGTGCATTTTGGGGAGGAGACATTACTGTTCCTGATCGCCCAGTCACTTCGTTTATCGCTCCTTACCAACAGTCCCCAGTCTTAAGCATTGCAAAGAATACTCTTGGAGCTGCTCGCCTTCCAGTCCCACCTAATATTGCTGGAACCTACTCTGGTGGATCCGTCAACATCACACTAGGCCGTGAAACTGGCGCAGCCGCTTATCGTATCTGGAGAGATGCCAATGCTGTTGCTTGGGTGAGCGACTGGGGCCAGCCTTCTCTTTCAGCTGTCGATAGTGCCCCTTGTGATGGAGGGTTTTACACCATTGTTGCCATGCAAGATAGCAACAGTAATGATACTTCGATGGGCGTCATGTCTTTACCCTATCAAATTCAGAGCAACGGTCAGCTAGGAACTTATAGCGCTCCTGTCGGAAAGACTTTCCAAGTTAGAGTCACATCTTACAACAACCTTGGTCCCACCGCAACCGGATACAACGCTCAACTCGGTGGATGCGCTGTGGATCCCCGTGTTATCCCTTGGGGAACCTATTTCTACGTTCCAGATTACGGATACTGTCTTGCTACTGATATTGGAACATGGATTCAGGATAATGCTGTTGATATCTGGCTTCCTGATGAACAAGCTGGAAACTGGGGTGTACAGTATCGCAACATCACGATCGTGGGTGATCTTGCCAATCCTCCCTCAGGATCTACACCTACTTCTACTACCACCACCAGCACATCAAAGTCTTCCAGCAGCAGTACCCAAACTACTACAACCACCACCACTTCTTCCAAGACCACCACCACCAGTTCTTCCAAGACAACAACCAAGGCGTCTACCACATCAGCCACAAAGACAACCACAAAGGCATCTTCTACCACCACCACAACATCGCAGGTAAGTATTGCGAGGTGATTACAATTGATTCATCAAAGTAATAACATTATATGATCGATATTTGTAGTCGCCAACCTCTACATCTACCGCCTGCACTTCGGCTAACAACGGTCAAAGCTTGTGTACAGCTAGCGGATCCAGCGGTTACAAGGAGTGCGTCAACAACACTTGGGTCAGCTTCCAATGCGGCACTGGAACGGTGTGTCAACAAACATCAACGTCCTCTATTACATGCGGATTCCCTTAAATTTTAACTGCTATTGGACCACAATGGTTTCATGTATGAGATTTTTCAGTCTGTCAGGTACAGCAAACATCATAATACAGATACTTAGTTAGTATTGAGTGTCCAAAAAAAAGAACAAGTAGCGGTTTCAATATATTTATTGCACTTTGTAGTGCGCTTTTTTTGTTGAAAGAAAAAACAGCTTTCGAATGGCCTACAGAGACTATTATTGCTTTTATCGTTTGTATTGGGGGGCAATCAGTGGATATTTCAAACGTCACCTTTTGATTGGTGCCCGCACATAAAGCCAAAGATCACTGAGAGAGCCTCATATAAACATTGGTTCATCACAAAAGGTTCTTTTGAAAAGAGGTCAAGCTTAAAAACTCAACAAGAAACGGCAGCAAGCCGACGTAGGGCTTAAATGTACCGTCTAGGCCGTGCTCGTTACATGATAACACGCTGGAGTTTAAATGAATAATTACCAACTATGCGCCAAAAGCACGCAACTGTCCTTTTCCAAATTACATGCCAGGAACATGACCGAAGACATGCATAAAATCCTCTGTATTCAAAATAGAACTAGGATTTAGCGTGGAGCACTATTTGGATGCGCATCGTCAAGCATTGCTAGATCTTTCACGCTCATTCTGTCAGCATCCAATATTTTTTGTTCCCAGGCACACGGTATTAAAGTTCCAAAACCTTAGATACGTATTCTCAGTTAGTCATAACCTATTTTTTATTCGTTCCTCACATTTAAAACAGCTGTTCCACATTATCTCCTCTCTCTTCTACATACCCAGAAATGACTGTCGAGATACCCGTATGGCAACAAAGAGCCAATGCTGCGCAAGAACGCCGTGAAAAGCAACTACCAGATGAATACCGCATCCCCAAGGACAAAATGCCTGATGACTCTGTATTGGATGTCTCCAACTTCCCAAGAGAATCTGGATTATTCTCAGAAGAAGAACTGGAAATCACAGAAGTGTCTGCACCTGTCCTTTTGAAAAACATCGAAGAGAAGAAATGGTCAGCCGTTCAAGTGACAAAGGCTTACAGCAAGCGCGCTGCCTATGCCCAACAACTCCTCAATTGTTTGTCCGAAATGCGATTCGAACAAGCTATTGCCGAAGCCCAGGAACTCGACGACTACTACGAAAGAGAAGGCAAATTGAAGGGTCCTTTGCACGGTCTTCCAGTTTCCATCAAAGACAACCATCTTTTCAAAGGCACCACATCTGGTGTCGGCTTCACAAGCTGGACGGAAAAGGTTTACGAAGAGAATTCTGTCATTGCTCAGCTCATCATTGATATGGGCGCTGTTGTCTACTGCAAAACTACCGTCCCCTTGGCGATGATGTCTTGCGAGACTGAATCGAGAGTCTATGGTGTAACAACCAATCCAAAGAACAGAAGCCACGGTGTCGGAGGTAGCTCAGGAGGTGAAGGCGCGCTCTCTGCTTTTGGGGGCTCTCCTGTTGGTTTTGGATCCGACATTGGTGGAAGTATTCGTATCCCATCTAACTACAATGGTCTTTTTGGACTTAAAGGAACCTCTGGTCGTATACCAACAGCTGGAACTCTTGCAGGATTGGGAGGACAATTCCACGTCAAGTCTATTGCTGGACCCATGGCAAGATCGCTTGAATCCGTAGAATTATTAGCCAAGGTCCTTTACAACAGCCATCCTGAACTATTGGACGAAAACTGTGTACCCATTCCATGGAGAGAGCCCGTTTTACCCAAGAGACTGGTGTTTGCTGTCCTTCGATCTGACAAATATTGCCGACCTACACCTGCGGTGACACGAGCTGTTGAAAAGGCTGTGGAAGCCGTCAAGGCCCAAGGCCACGAAGTGATAGAGTGGGAACCTATTGACCACGATAAACTCGACAATTTGATGCTTGCTTTCTTCACCTCAGACGGTGGTGCTGGCATCAGGGCAGCTTTGGAAGATGAACCTTTGCTAGAACATCAGGCAATGGGAAGTCACCTGCTCAAAGAAATTCCAGGCAGCGTTATCTGGGCCGCTCAAAGACAGAGAGTCGGTATCGAAAAGGCCATTTTGGCACAATGGAACAACAGCTCTAAGGTGTCATCCTCTGGACAAGTCATAGATGGTATCATTGCTCCTGTGACCGCCGTACCAGCATACCCTCACCGCAAGGCCAACTATGTTGGTTATACCAACTACTGGAATATTGTGGATTACCCTGCTGTAGCTTTCCCAGTACTCAGAGCCGATGCTTCTATTGATGGTAAGCCAGATTTGGAGTATATCTCACCAGTTGAAAAGCGACTTTGGGACGACTTTGATCCTGTTGCCTGTGATGGAGGATGTGTTGGTCTTCAGATTATCACTAGAAGATACGAGGACGAGAAAGCGTTGAAGCTTGCCGGCGTGATCACCGATGCTTTGCAAAAAGCGTAATTGTATTTAATTTTGTTGTAATAAAACGGGTTGCTGATTGAAAGAAAGAGCAATGGCTCGACTTTTAGGACGTGGTACTGAATCGAACGCTTCACTGTGTTTTGTTCCGTTGTTCAATGATATTCACACACATAAAATAATTGATTTGGCGAAGGAAGGCGAAATGTGAGGCATTTAGAGATTGACGGTTCAAACTCCACTGAGTGAATTTGGATCAAAAGAACGTACACAGCATTGGCAAAAATAACTCAGCCTTACTGCCACAATCGAAGTTGCTGTCCTTATCTTCACACTTTCACCATGTGGAGATTTCTTCCTATCAGCTTGAGGAAATTCAACACACAAGACTCATTTTACCCTTAATGAGAGCTTAGGATCTATATCTTATCACTCACCAATAGTGTATCAAGTACAGTCAAATTCAGCGTACAACTGGTAGCACTTAATATATATGGGAACGTCATGTCATTCCAGAAGGTATCTCATAGCCAGTAGATCTCTGTTAAGCCGGAGTGCTTAATAAAGCGTGAATTATGCGTCGTCATGGCACCTGAAGTACAGGATAATCCGTTTTATCACCTGGCAGCTATAGTTTTTCCGGTAACATCGTTCTATGAGAGTATTGAGCCTTCGAGCGAGTGTATTTTTTTCGTCCATAGCGCTCGTTTACCCATTTCACATACGAGCTATGTGGCGAGGTGGTATCGCTTCAACCTCAGACAATGCTTGCGCTAAATTTGCTGTTGAGGTTAAAAAGCAGCCAGCGTTAACGAGATCCAACCAATTTTGCGCGATATTTGCTAAGCGCATTCCCCACGTGTAACATTTTTTACAATGATTGACTTTGGTCTTCACCACATTGACCCGATACAATTACTTCTTACGAAATATGCTGTAAACTATTTCCCTCTATTGAGTTCAACTGTTAATTTTACCCAGAAATTTAGTTGAGTAGACTACATGCTTCATAGATATTGTAAGCAATATGATGGGCTATCAGTTGCCAATGTCTCGAGCTTCTTCTTGTTGCCGCATGTAAAAAAAAAGATGTTCAATTGGAGTGCCGCTGACAAAATAATGTATGTGTAAAATGAGGCATTTTGAAATAAGCTTTCCTAATTCAACATAAACGAACATACATCGAATGATATAAAAGCCAGAATTTTGCCCAGCTTCAATTTATCAGTCGATCTCTCCGGTATTCCTCTCTTCACCACCTGGCTTGACATTGTCAGCACATATATAAAACATGAATACTGATAAAGAAAAGCGCACTCAACTGACATTTGGTGAGGACGTTCGTCGTCGTTCTGGAGTCACCGAAGGAACTCATCACAATATACCTGTCGAATTTCGCACTCTATCTATTCATGTCACTGATTCCATCCATGTCCCTAACGACAAGAGCAAGAACAAAGAAAAGGAATTGGACGATTCAGAATACTTTGCTTCCATGGAGTTTCATAAATTGACTACGGAAGAAGTCGTCCAACGCTTCAATACCTCTGATACTGTTGGCTTGGACACTTCGGCAGCTGAAAACAGATTGAAGCGAAATGGTCCTAATGTGCTGGTTCAGCGCAAACCAAACTATGTCAAGAAAGTTCTGGGTTATGTTTTTGGTGGTTTCTGTTCTGTTCTTTGGATTGGAGTCATCACCTTCTTCCTTTGCTGGATGCCTCTGAGTACTCCTCCAGTCAGTCCTGGCGGAAGCCCAAGTGTTGTCAATCTTGCTCTCGCTATTCTTGTTGTAAGTAACGTCATTTAAATCAGCGAGCATTTTTCTCTTTTACCTAACCGGAAAATAATGGTCACTTTAGATCATTGTCATCTTTCTTCAAGCTTCCTTTTCCGCTTTCCAAGACTGGTCAACTTCTCGCGTTATGAACTCCATTCTCAACTTACTTCCGTCAGAATGTCTAGTTATTCGCAGTGGAGTCCCCACTAAAATGACAGCAAGCAACCTCGTTATTGGAGACGTTGTCCAGATCAAGTTGGGTAACAAGGTTCCTGCCGATCTCCGACTTATTCAAGTTTCTAGCGATCTTAAATTCGACCGTGCCGTCCTTTCTGGCGAGAGTGAACCAGTTGAAGGTACCATTTCCATGACAGACGAAAACTTCTTGGAATCCAAAAACATCGCTTTGATGGGAACCCATGTAGTTAATGGAAGCGGTCTAGGTGTCGTTGTCCTAACTGGTAATGATCAATATATCAACTTGTCTATCCATCATCGAATCATACTCTAACATGTGCGTGATTGCTAGGTAACAATACAGTCATGGGAAGAATCAACAAACTGACCACTGCTGCAAAGGAAAAAGTTACTTTGATCCAGCAAGAGATTTCTCGATTCGTTAGAATTATCGTTTGCTTGACCTGCGTTCTTGTATCAATTCTTCTTATTGAATGGCTTGCGTAAGTATCCTGTGAGTCATAAGATTTGTAAGAAAGCAAAAGCTAACATGGTTTTCCAATAGTTTCCTCCGTCCAAAACATCCAGACTTCCAAAACGTTGTTGCATTGTTGATGAACTTGATGGGATGCGTTGTTGCCTTCATTCCAGAGGGTATGCCCGTTGGCGTTGCTATGACCATGATGATGATTGCACGCCGTATGAAACAAAACAACATTCTCCCTAAAGCTCTTACCACGGTCGAAACTCTTGGCTGCGTTACTGTCATTTGCTCTGATAAGACTGGAACCCTCACACAAAACAAAATGTTCGTAACCTCTATTGGCTTCGAAGACTCTGAATGCACTCCTGAGGAATGCAGAGACAGAATGGTACAGGATAAAGCATCTCCTACCGCCGCTGCCTACAAAAAGCTTCACCTTGCTTCGCTATTCTGCAATAACTCCACCTTCGATGCTTCTACTTTGAACTTACCTATCTCTGATCGACTTGTCAATGGCGATGCAACTGATGCTGCAATTCTTCGATTATCTGCTGAACTCGGCAACACTGAACAAGTAGCCAAAGAATTCGTCCGTACTTTTGAAATCCCCTTCAACTCCAAGAATAAGTGGATGCTGACCATGTATCAAGCTGCTGAAGACTCCAAAGCCATGGAAAAAGTTTACGGTGGAAGTGGCAAGCAGTCTTTGGTTTTCGTCAAAGGTGCTCCTGATATTCTTTTACCAAAGTGTACTTCTGTTCTCTCCTCGGCTACCAACACTGTTAAATCTTTGACTGCTGAAGTCATTTCTCGCTTGAATGCTACTCAAGAATCTTGGGCTGGTAAAGGACAACGTGTCCTCCTGCTTTGCAGTCGCTTTTATTTGCCATCAAGTGCATTGGGATCAAATGAACTTCAAGACGAAATAGTGCGCAACGCTGTACAAGATCTGACTGTTATCGGCCTTGTCGGTATTATGGACCCACCTCGTCCCGAAATCCTTCAAACTGTTGCTGACTGTCGCCGATCAGGCTCTCGATTCTTCATGATTACTGGTGATTTTGGACTAACCGCCGCTGCTATCGCTCGTCAAATTGGAATTTTCACCACTACCAGGGATCCCGATACGTATACTGATGTAACCAAGTCGGATGCTGCCGATGAAAAGTTCGAAGGTGTGACCAGTCTACTCTTGACTGGAAGTGATCTTCTTAAATTTGGTGATATCGAATGGGATATCGTGGCTAAATATGAAGAAATTGTTTTTGCTCGTACTACACCAGAACAAAAGCTCAGGATTGTCAAGGAACTTCAAAAGCGTGAAAATGTTGTGGCCGTTACAGGTGATGGTGTCAACGATGCTCCTGCTTTGAAAGCCGCCGATGTTGGTGTTGCAGTCGTTAGTGGTAGCGATGTTGCCATTGAAGCTGCTGATTTGGTTCTACTTGGAGGCTTCGACTCTATTACCGAAGCTATTCGTCTTGGTCGACTTGTGTTCCAGAACTTGCAAAAAGTTATTGGCTATCTTCTTCCCGCTGGTTCATGGTCCGAAATCTGGCCAGTCTTGGTTAATGCTTTCGCTGGTACACCTCTTCCTCTAAGCTCTTTCCTAATGATTATTATTTGCTGCTTTACGGACTTATTCCCGTGCTTAGCACTGATTATGGAACGCGAAGAATTTGACTTGTTGTCCCAAAAACCTCGTAACCCAAAGCGTGATCACCTGATCAACTTCAAGATATACCTTCAATCATATATGTAAGTCTTGTTATATTTTTCGGAGAACTGTACGAGGGGCTCATCTAACTTGCTTTTGCTTTATCAAGATTCATGGGATCTATGCAAACTATTTGTTCACTCTCCATGTTCTTCCTATTTATGAAGGAGCATACTGGTCTTACCTGGTACGACTGGGTTGGCACATACAGTAGTGGACCTTGGGGCCCTGAAGACAATCAAACATGGGGATGGGATTCTACAGGAAACCCTTTGACGTCTGATCAGTTTACTACTATCAGCTTCAGTGGTCAGTGCGTTACCTTTGTCACCTTGGTCATCTTACAGTGGGGCAACATTCTATCCATTCGCAATCGAAAGCTGTCTATACTTCAGGCGGATCCTATTCGTCCTGCTCGTAGAAACCTTTGGTTATTCGTCGGAATGACTTGTTCTTTGATTGTCGCCATTATTGTCACTGAAGTTCCTTGGATCCAAAATACTTTACTAACTGGTTCTGTACCCATCAAACATTGGTTCCTTCCTTTCCCTCTGGCTCTGGGTATCCTTATGATGGATGAAATCCGCAAATTATTAGTTCGCTCCTTCCCTAACAGCATCATTGCCAAGCTGGCCTGGTAACCAACTGCACATACGCATTTTCACAATAGACACCTCCACCTACTACATAACCATCACTAGCAAGCTTCTAACCTTTTCGATGCTTATCGAATTTGAATAATCATACATCCATTTCAATCATTTATCCCCCCATGATAATAAATGTAAAAAGCTTTGAATGCATATAATTATCTACATATTTTGCTTCTGGACGTCTTAGTTTCTATGAATGACTTTGCTTATCAATGCTTTCAAAGCAAATACAATTGATTTGTAGAAATTCTGTGGGAAAGCTGAAAATTTTGGTAAACCAACACCAGGCACCTGCCGCAGCAGCTCAATACAGCATGATTGGTAAGCTTTTGAAAATTTTTCTACATCGAGTTTGTATGTCAATAAACATATACTTTGATTTTGATCCAAGTTGCAATATGAAAAATCAAGCCATTTACATTTCTGATGCTGGTCACATCAACTAGTTATCGAAACTTATTAACCCTTTCCATTGAAGGATAGCTCACATATAAAGAGAAAATGACTGGAAGAAAGACAGCATTCAAAAATGAAAACTTTTGGTGTTTCCCTGGTAATGTGATGAAGATAGCAGTATATTTAAAAGTACTTGGTTGCGTTACTGAGCCGGCGTTCATCCGATTAAGAGTCCGATCACTTACGCAAGCTTATCTTTGATTTCATTACTGTCAAGGTACCCAAGAAGTTATTACGCAAGCTGGCATTTAGTTACTGCGCAATAGAAATGGGTAATGTGTTCAATGAATATCGGTGAATATGCACATAAGGGTATTCGGTGTCTTTAGTACTACCGGTGACCATAAGTGGAAACAAACCAACTCGTCTAAATTATAAAAGGACCATTTACCTGGTGATAAAAAACAAATCAGAACTATCTCAATCACGAAAAACATGTCTCTACAAGATAATCAACAGTCTAAATCCTTCCTATGTCGTTATCGTCAGCTGGCTCCGTCTGCTTCGGTCAGAGTCTCCCCATTATGCCTGGGTGCCATGAACTTTGGTGAGGCATATAAAGATGGCTTGGGTGAATGCAACAAGGAAACTTCATTTGAAATACTAGATCATTTCGCCAGTCAAGGCGGTAACTTTATTGATACAGCCAATATGTATCAAGATGGGGAATCTGAACAGTGGCTTGGAGATTGGATGGCATCCCGCAAAAATCGAGATGAAATGGTTATCGCCACCAAGTACTGTACTGCCTACAAATTACATCTCAAGGACAAGATTCAAGCAAACTATGGTGGTAACGGTCTCAAGTCTATGCGCATTTCGGTTGAAGAATCCCTTAAAAACCTTCAGACAACCTATATTGACTTGTTCTACTTGCATTGGTGGGACTACACTGTTAATATTCCAGAGCTGATGCACGGCTTGAACGATCTTGTGGCTTCCGGCAAGGTATTGTACTTGGGAATCTCCAATACACCAGCATGGATTGTTGTAAAATGCAATGAATATGCTCGTGAACGTGGTTTGCGTCAATTCACCGTCTATCAGGGACAATGGAACGCTGGCCTTCGCGATTTGGAACGAGAAATTATCCCAATGTGTCGTGCTGAAGGCATGGGATTGTTACCGTATGGAGCTTTGGGTTCAGGACGATTCCATACTAAAGAAGGTTATAAAGAGCGCGAAATTAACAACCCGGGTCGCAAAGGAAGACAATATTCCGAGCGGGAAAAGGCTGTGTCCAAGGCCCTGGAAAACGTCGCTAATGCACATGGCACAATCCTCACCAGCGTTGCACTCGCATATGTCAGACAAAAAGCGCCATATGTCTTTCCAATCGTTGGCGGAAGGACGTTAGAGCACCTCAAAGGCAATATTGAAGCTTTAAGTCTTTACTTGACCCAAGAAGAAATGAAGGAAATCGAAAATGCCTATGAATTTGATCCTGGCTATCCAAATACTTTCCTCAGTGGTAATCTGAATGTCGGTGGAGAGTTATTCAGTGCCACCAAGCCAAGTAATGTCTTTTGGACAAAGCGCCAAGGTACTTTTGATTGGGTTGAGCCCGAAAAACCAATCGGACCTATTGAACAGTGATAGTAGTGAAGCAAACAGAGTAGTCGTAAATAAAAAAATTACACCCAGTGAATTTTTTGATCTCGCGTGTACAGGGACAACAAATACTGCGAATGAATCCCGACATTGGTGATCTCTTTCTGAGCAGCATCACAATTCGAAATTTCAATCTCTCTAAGGTAATGATTGGAGTCCATTTAGGTTAACTTGCTAGCTAGGAAGTTTTTTGTCCACAAGATGCACTTACCCAGGTGTTACAAAGTAAAGGTCCCCCATATATAGTTAGAAGCCGGTGCTCACAAGCTGCAACCGGCATACAGAAGCTAGCAATTTAGGTTGCAATGATGTGACGAATTTCATTGTAAAAACAGTAGGTGGTATGAACAACACGCTGTATACCTGCATTCCACATTGTAATCAATTTATGTAGTGATACTAGGCAGCAGCTAACAAACGTCTATGATTCTTCCTCAAAACCCACAGCAAATGGAAACGTACCAAAGAGTGACATAAAATTTTCCACCGTCGACCAGTAAGAAGGTAACAGCCCCCCCCCCTCACCATTGAATGGTAAGCCATCCACATATATGAGCTATCTTGACTTAAGCTACACCAACCCACCGTATTATGCTACGACGAGCTAGTTTGAATTGATTGAGTGGACATGATCAGATTTTATCATACAGGCTGGACCCGAACACTTTTGTAACGCGCAAGGCAACAGGGAAGTAATCCACGATCATGGTTACGTATTTTATAGCCGCATCCACGGAAACAATCAAAGCTCGACAAGGTATCTCCGGCTGCTGTCATAACCGACTGTCGATATCTATCTCAGTTAAACTACAACTTACAAGCAGTTCAAAATATTAGTTGTTAGGACTTTGTGAGTATTGCCTTGAGTGGCTGGGCTATCGGATCTGAACCAAAAGTATGCCAGGTCTCTTTTTAGAACGTCAAGATCTTCAAAATTAACTGCTGCTGACTAAAAATCGATTCTCGAAAGGGATAGAAAGGTTGTTTCACCCACGAAAAGTGGGAAAGATCTCAACTCAGAAACTTCACATGACGAAAAAATGGCATAGGCACACTTCACCGAAGTCAAACAGTTTTCTTGGACCATGGTTTCGGAACCCCCGAATCCAGGCGTTGCCCGTGGTCTGTGCTTGAACAAATCTTACTGTCATAATCATGCAATTTCAATCTCCGCCTTTGCAGACCCCTCTTCTGCTTACTTCTAGCTTGTAGAGCAAACATTACGTGAGGGAATATATTGTGCGTCCTCTATGAAATGAAGCTGTTTAAATATATTTAATGTGTTATAATGCAGGATTGGGAAGAAAATATCGTCGATCATCGCGGCCACTTGCATGGGTAGGATGTCTTCGAAAACATTACGTATGAGTGACAGGATTGCAACGCAATTGTGAATATATAAGTGACTTCAGAGAGGCAAAGCGGAAATATACTACATTTCACCATGACCGATTTAGTCAACCGCCTTGCTGCTACGAAAGACAAACTTGCCGAAGATTCGGCAACCAAACCTGGGTCCAGCAAGAAAGATCAGATTCTCGAACAGGAAAACCGTACACAGGACCAAGAACCTGGCCATGTTCTTGCTACACCCACAGGTGTTAAGATAGACCATACAGACGATACACTCAAGGCTGGAGAACGTGGTCCTACCTTGATGGAAGACTTCCATTTCCGTTATTCTATCACTCAATTTGACCATGAACGCATTCCTGAGCGAGTTGTTCATGCTAGAGGGTCTGGCGCTCATGGATACTTTGAACTCTTTGAATCTCAAGCAGAATTTACCAGCGCCAAAGTATTGAATGATACTTCTCGTAAGACTCCAGTTTTTGTTCGCTTTAGTACCGTTCAAGGATCTCGAGGTTCAGCCGACACTGTACGCGACGTTCGTGGATTTGCTGTCAAGTTTTACACCGACGAAGGAAATTGGGATCTTGTTGGTAACAACATTCCAGTCTTCTTCATTCAAGATGCAATCAAGGTCAGTGGCCAATTTTCAATCTGAAACTTTAGGCGACCTTCACACTAATCTGAATTTTATTAGTTCCCCGATTTGGTTCACTCGCTCAAGCCTGAACCTCATAACGAAATCCCTCAGGGCCAGACAGCTCACGACAACTTTTGGGACTTCGCTTCTCTGATGCCTGAATCAACACATATGTTGATGTGGATTTTATCCGATCGTACTATCCCAAGAAGTTATCGAATGATGCAAGGCTTTGGCGTCAATACCTACATCTTAATCAATGAAAAGATGGAACGCCACTTTGTCAAGTTCCACTGGAAGCCTGTATTGGGTACACACAGTCTTGTGTGGGATGAAGCTCAAAAGCTTGGTGGACAAGATCCTGATTATCATCGAAGAGATTTGTGGGAAGCCATTGAGTCTGGAAACTATCCTCAGTATGATTTTGGTATCCAGATTGTCGCAGAAAAGGACGAACATAACTTCGACTTCGATCTTCTTGACTGTACCAAGCTTATCCCTGAGGAACAAGTCCCCGTTCGTTGGATTGGTCGAATGACATTGGACCGCAATCCAGACAACTTTTTTGCTGAAACCGAACAGGTGGCCTTCTGTACGCAACACGTTGTTCCTGGTATTGGATTTAGCAATGATCCAATGTTACAAGGCCGTAACTTCTCTTATTTGGACACTCAGTTGAATCGATTCAACGGTCCCAATTTCAATGAAGTCCCAATCAACAAGCCGATCTGTCCCTTCTTCAACAACCTGCGCGATGGCTTCAATCGTCAGCGTATCAACAAGGGAAAAGTCAATTATTGGCCAAACCGCTACGTAAATCCCAGACCTGCTGCAGAGGAGGATCATCCGTATATGCATTTCCCAGAAAAGACCGAAGGTTTGAAGACACGATTACGTGCTCCAAAGTTCAAGGAACATTACAAACAAGCCACCATGTTTTGGAATTCCATGTCAGACGTTGAGAAGGATCACTTGGTTGCCGCCGCAAGATTTGAGCTTGGAAGAGTCGACGATCTTAGGATTCAAACTCGTCAAGTCGAAAACTTCCTGAACGTTGACCACGAGTTTGCTAAGCGCGTAGCTGATGGTCTTGGCATCAAGATTCCATCCGAGGCTGCCGTGCAGAACCATGGCCGACAATCCCCTGCCCTTAGTCAGTTGAACACAGTCTTTGGTTCACCTGCTACAAGAAAGGTAGCATTCATTGTTGCCGATGGATATGATAGCACCCAACTTTTGGAACTTCGAGGAGCCGTCAAAGCAGCCGGCGCCATGACCTTTATCATTGGGCCAAGAAGAGGAAAAATCAAGAGTTCCAAACAAATGGAAAACCCTGAGGAAGAAGAGCCGGAGGGAACTTCACCTGAGACATCTGACTATGGCATTTACGCTGACTTCTCCTTGTTTACTGCAAAGTCCACCTTATTCGATGCCATCATCGTACCTGGCGGAGCTCAGAGCATCAATACTCTGAAGAATAATGGAGAAGCTTTCCAATGGATCAATGAAGCCTATAAGCACTTTAAGACTATCGGTGCTGTTAGCGACGGTGTTGCGCTCTTACGCGAGTCTGCAATCCCTCCCTCGCTCATTTCTATTGATGAAGCTATTACTTCAGAAAAAGGTGTTGTGACAGCCGGCGTATACTCTGCTTCTAAGGAATCCGAATCGATTGTTGGAAGCGCCATTGAGGCTGTCAAAAGCGTTGGTAAAACTGGCAACTTTGCAAAGTCATTTATCGAAGCCGTCGGACAGCACCGACATTGGGACAGAGATGTATCTCGTATTCCAGCTTAAATAATTTTTATATATCTCAATTATGTTTCAGTATTGATAGCGATTGCACTAGCTGGCATCCAACGCTAAAAATATTGTGTTTTAAGTGCACCAATAAAAACGTTCTCTAATCACAACCTATTGCCTGGAAACCTGTTCAGAATGCCTCGATGGAAACACTGTTAAACTGATTTTTGAAAAGAAAAAATTTAAACCAATCCTTAAAACAGATTCTTAAATGCTATTTTAAAATAACTTTGTACATGTCAAAGAAGTTGCCAAAGGACGAAATCAATAAAGTGTTATCAATCTTGTTGGAAAGCTTGGAAGCGAGGCGATACGTTTACTCGTCAAGCCCATTTATTATGTACGCCGCCTCACCCACTTTTGTTAAGTACATCGGAACGAATCTTGTTCATATTACATAGGGATTTCCATTGGGGTGCGAGACGGCAAATTGGTGAGATGAACGTGTCAAATATGTGCATGACAATGGAATCTAAAAAACGCATGGAACATCCATATCACCAATGTTCATGATTCCATTACTGGCAAGGCTGGACTTTCCAACCACCATGGTGCTGTAGCGACTGCTGAGCTCATTCTTTATGCTATCATACTGTAACTTTTAAGATTTGCTTTCATCGGTGAGACATCATCGACCCATAGGTAGAAGTCACTTTCTTTTCTCACTGAAAAGGTTCGTTCTCCAAATACCAAGTGTTCCTTGGATTATCGGCGATTGTAGTGCTATCTTTAGCTGCCCAAATGTCGAAGTCGACAGATTACTTTGAATATTTATCTCTTTCATATTTGATAGCCTACTTAAATTATAATATTACTTTAATGCTTCTTATTTCCAATGACAATATGCACCGTTGTTTGCTAATAAGAAAAAATGGGTGCCTGTATTAATATCGACAAGAACCACAAGTTGTACCCAATATCGAACAAGATAAGTAAATTCAGTATATGTCGTCGGCATAATGATTTGTCAATAAATGCTCAACCGTTCAAAGCTGTGTAGTAAAATCGGCTTACTGCATAGTTGACCAATTATTTCATAAATGAAGCTTGCAAGATTTCAAGTCATTCAAATTTGACAATTGTGAAGCAGGTATCATTTGATGGTTGGATGGCTATGTCTCTATCTTGATTTTTACACACCCAGTGTATGAGATAGGGGCTGTGTAGGACCACTTATTAGTTCATAATCCACCGCTAACTATGGCCGGTCGTACTGTCTACATTACCGGGGGTTCTTTTCCTATAGCACCTAGTTTCGTACGTTGACATTAATAGGTTGATCCCCAGAGGATGAGTCCCCATTGGCCTGCGTCCACTTGTATTCCAACACAACGCGGGCACAATTTGAGCCTTTCTAAATAGTTGCCAACGATCAGATTTCAGTTGTGAGTGATTCAAGGGTATCCAAGCTGAAAACAGGTTAGGAAATGCGTCCCTTAGGAACGTGCGGTTAGGAACGTGCGTTAAAATGAAAGGTCGTTGACTCTATCTCTCCGAGAAGATTGTATCGGTGATTTTTTATGTATGCAAAAACAGCTCTTCCCCGCAAAATTCCCGCCAGGCAGGATGTTCGCAAAACTCCTCTAAAAAGTCTTCACTTTCAGCAAACTATTGACACTGGTGTGAGGCTTGTATAAAAATAGTTTATTTGAATTTCTAAGAAATCCTCAAGATCCTTGCCATTTCAAATGCTTGTGCAGGAGCGTGCCAGGTTTCAATATGGGTACCTAGGTACCAATGACAGCGTTGTTCCAGTACAGACTCCGCAAGAATAAACTTCTAAGACTACACCCAGCGGATATTGTACCATAGTACTGGTTATTAACAACTGGAGGTCTTGCAGGGCACAGTAAAGCTTATTAAGGAATGAATTACCCGTTTCCACAACCTCACGTAAATTTACCGCGGAGGGGGCGGGTTGGTTGGAGTCAGCCAGCCAGGTCGCTTCTCAGACATATCCAGCATGAAATATTTTATTGCAGTTGCGTCTAAATATGACTTTTTTCCTATGCAGTGCAATTCCGTAAAGTTGAAGCTGGTGCCATGTTGAACGGAAATGAATGTTGTGGGATCTCCATTGCGGTCATGCTTATTTTAGCTGGGATCAAAGTAAACCATTTCGAACATGCTCCGTGCAAGCGTAAGGTACGAATGTTTCTCAGAATGTTCTCTCCTCAACTGCTCTCGCTCTATCAATAACATTAAATATCGGTGAATGACCTCTATTCTATATGGTGGTGCTTCCAGAAAAGAAGAATAGTATTGATGCATGAAAGTGCTAATAATAGTCGCGGGGGGGCATAAACACATATTACCTTACGAAAAGCGAAGAAGCGTCCGTAAAAAAATAATTACTTTATTCATAATACCAGAAGATGATCGACTACAAAATCGCGCAATAACTGAAAATGGATATCACTCGCCCTGAATAAAGTAGTCCGTTGGCCGGAGGCTATGTTATCATCCAACATTCACCGATAATGGAGAAAATGATTGATGTCAGCTTGATAAATAGATCTGCGAAACATTCGCGGCTGAAATAGATATTGATCTTTGTATTCGACGACGGTAAATAGGACATACGAACCAAGAGAGAAGAACGCCTATGCTCCGGTGAGGGTGTACAGTGTTTGTGGATTTGAGATCTACACCAGCACAGAGCTTGGTAGTGGTTTATGGTGTAGATGGTAGGTTGAAATTCAATATCAGATCATAATGCCGATGAAATGTAAAACAGCATCCATGCATGTATTGTATCTCTTTGTATTTGATCAAAGTGCCTGCGTTAATGCTGTTAGCAATTGATGTGTAAGCACCGAACCGGAATTTATTTTTGGTGCTCGATCATCTCGTTTTAATATACACGATTCAGGTGTATAAATATCAGGGCTTCGACGCAAAGGGCTTGATCACAGTATTCAAGTACACAAGCAATCCTTTGCCACGAATAGTCTTCTCTCGAAATGCGTGTCACCTTCAACTTTGCCACAGCCCTCGTTGGGCTTTTGTCTATTGCCAGTTATGCCTCGGCTGCAAGTATGTGTTATATGGAATGTCGTTTTTTTTTTAGACAGAATGATAGTAACCACCTTTAGTAGAAGACTACAATCGTTTGAACATATCGGACGCAGCTGTTCTCTTCATCGATCACCAAGTTGGATTATTCAACCTAGTTCAAGACACTAACCCAGATTCCTTTAAGAACACTATCTTGGCTGTCGGTGACACTGCAAAATTCTTTGACTTGAAAGTAGTCTTAACCACATCCCGCGAAGACGGTCCTAATGGTCCTATGCTGCCAGAGCTCAAGGCCAAGTTCCCAAATGCGCCTTACGTTGCTAGACCAGGACAAATTAATGCTTGGGATGACCCAGAGTTCGTCAAAGCCGTAGAAGCTACAGGAAAGAAACAGCTTATCATTTCCGGTATCGTTACAGATGTATGCGTAACATTTGTTTCCCTATCTGCCAAGGCTGCTGGTTATGAAGTCTTTGTGGTTACCGATGCTTCCGGTACATTTAATGAAGCTATCAGAGACGCCTCATGGTCACGAATGGAAGCTGGCGGAATTCAACTCATGAACTGGTTTGCTGTTGCCTGTGAGTTGGCTCGTGATTGGCGAATGGACCTTGAAGGTCTTGCAGCTTTGTTCGGTTCCCACATCCCTACTTATAAAGCTCTGATGGACGGATACAATGGAGCTGTCGCTTCCGTTAAACATTAGTGTTTGTGTCATCCATTTCTACACATATCAATAAAGAGTTCTACAAATTTCTATATCGAAAACCGCTTTTAATTCATACAACTAAATCCGCTTCAGACAATAGCCAACAGCGACAAGTACAATCGAATGTCTGCTTTATCAGCATTTATGGGTAATAAATAGCGATGACTACTATCACTTCTTAGCATTTATTATAAGAGAGATGATTAAGACCATTGGCTGTTAAGGGGATGCCAAGGTAATCACAGGAAGTAACGATAGGACAGCGTTCAGTGCCAGTTTAAGAGTGCGAGAGGAGGGGGTGTCAATAATGGCCGATTTGTTGACATTGACATTGACATTGATACCATTGTGAACAATCCAGGTTTGGACAATGGATAGCATACGTTTGGCGATGGAAGGAGTGGAGGGTTCGGAGTAAGATGTCGTCGGAAAAGAGGAGGAGAGGAGGAATGAAGGGATGGAAGTCGATGCGAGCGATTTTTTCGGCAAGGTCGTTGATATAGACATTGAACAGCCATGGGCTGAGAAGGCTGCCTTGAAAGAGGCCTACAGAGCGAGACAATAGAGGGCCAACAGATTGGTTGACAATCATTTGGGAAAAGCAAGAGGAGAAGAGAGAGTCGACAAGTTGAATTAGTGCGGTGGGAGTGTCGCGGAGGATAAGTTTATCCAGGAGACGGGAAATGGGGACACGGTCATAGGCTTTCTCTAAATCAAGAAAGATATGGAAATTGCGTTGTTGGGATGGAGCGTGTGCTGACGCATTGGCTCACCATAAATGAGAGATGGTGGTGTAGCCAGGGCAAAAGCCAGCTTGAAAGGGAGAAAAGACGTTGAGCTTGGGTTGGGAGTATAGAAAGGATAGGAGAATGGATTCAAAGATCTAGCGAAGACATGGTGTGAGAGAGATTGGGCGTGAGGAGGATGGGGTAAAGGAATCGGATTTTTTGGGTATAGGAGTTATTTGGGATATATTCCACATACTAGGTGTAAGAGTAGAAAAAAGAAATGTGGAGAAGAGGAGTTGCATAGAGGAAAGGAAAACAGTTGAAGAGGAGAGTGCTTTGAAGATGCGACTGTGAAGGACATCCAGGCCAAAGGTTTTGGCACTGGGGTATTTCATAATATGTTTGGCAATCTTCTCTGGTGTAAGAAAAGAAAAGTAGTGGATTATCAGGGAGGGGGTGCACTTGTCGGTGGAAAAGGGTGGAATGGAAGCGATCAGAGTGTGGAGGGTTATAGAGGTTGGTATAGAAGTCAGTAACGCTTTCCAGAGGGGAAAGCAGTGGATCATCGGAGAGGAGTGTCTTGCTATTTCCTCGTTGACTTCGTTTGAAGAGTCGGACGGTATGGTAGTGGGCAGTGCTGGATTTAAGGAGTGGTCGATTTCCGAGCAGCGTTGCTGAGGGGTATAAGTACCCAGGATGGTTTCGCAACACGTAGAGATTAAAGACATGTATAATGCATAAACGGTATCGATAATGTCTTGCGTGGTGGAAATATCTTGGGACTGCATTATTTGATCTGAAAGGAAGTGCATGAGTTGGTAATGCTCATTCCATAACAATTCAAAGCATGCGATCAGTTGGTCAGCGAGCAGAGGTTCGTCGAGGTATTTGAGGTTAAATCGGATGGCTTGGGGAGTGGATGTGGGTGATGGAGGTGGTTTTGGGGGAAGCATAAAGGTGACGAGGTGATGGTCGGTTTTTGGGTGTATAGGAGCATGGGTGTTGGCAGTCGTAAAGAGAGAAGAGTCTAAGAGGACATGGTCATATTTGAAGGGTGGGGTGTCCGTAATCCAATTTAAATCATGTTGAAGGCATAGATCGGAGATGCCTTGTTTTCTTGGATCCAGGATTAGCGAGGGTATGTATTTTTTAGAAGGAACGTTGGGATGGTAATTAATGTCGCCTAGAAGGACAGAGACTTTGGTTTTGGGCATATGTTGTTGGCATACATTCCATGGCATACTCGGGGGTAAGTATAGTGCATGTAGGCAGTGGCCGTGGAGAGAGAAGGTGATGGAATGAGTCGTTTGGTGAAGGAGTGTAAAGCTGGATCGTAAATTAGGTCGTGCAAGTATGGCTAGTCCACCGGCGCTTGGGCCGTTTGTCCTGGGGACATGGGTGGACGTTGCTAATAGATAAGGAGTGTATGTGTTATAGCGAGAGAAATGCCAAGACTCTGTGATTACGATCATATCGGCAAGATGTTTGTCTAGAAGTTGAATGCAAGAAGTTAGTTTTTCGGGTGAAAACCCTTTCATATTTTGTAGGTATATCTTCATGGGGAAGATTCCATGGGAGTATCAGAGATCGGCAAAAGAATGTTGAGTTCTGCGGCATATTGAGTAAAGAACTCCTTAACGGAGTCTTGCTTAGTGTTTTGAATGATGTTAGCGACTCGTTTGGCGAACAAAGCCTTAACTTCATCAAGTTTATCTACAGGGAAATTAGGATCAAGTGGTTTAGTAGGATCTGTTTCAATCACTTGGAAGCGGAAAGTTTTACACTTAGCGAGAAAGGACGTGGTGTAGTCATCCTGGATCACAAATTCCACACAGTTCTGGGCGATGTAGCTTATGTTAACAATTTTTGTTAACATGAAGTGCTACGCGAAGAGGCGGGATTTGAGATCCTTATAGCTGGTTCGAGGGATGCCGTTGTCGTAGATACGTCGCAGGCCAAGACGCTGTTCGGTGCTGCTTTTATGAGGGACTCGTTTCTGGTGGAAGAAAGCGAGCGCACTCTTAGCAGCTTCTGCGTTAGCGGTGGGTTTGTTGGAAACCAGCTTCTCGGCAATAGCAGAATAACTTTGCTTGGGTCGGCCAGTAGGGGCAACTGTTTTTTTGGTCACGGAAGCATACGTGATGGTGGTTTGAGGGATATGCTTGGCATTCCAAGGCCTGGGGTGTACAGGGCTTGGAGTCTGCTCGGTCATATCTCGCTGGTGCTGGTCCTTCTGGTTCTTCTGGTTGCGGCGGGCGTTGTTTTTATCACCAACAAGTTCGGCAGCAGCTGTATTTTCGAAGAGTTCCATGGCGTCGGGGCGTGCGGGAGCTGTTGTAGGTGTTGTAGGTGGAGCATGCTTAGAAGCTAGCGTACCTCGGTTTTCACTAGCCTGTGAAAGAAGTTGCTGGTAGTTATGGTTCATGGCGGATAGGTCTTTCGTTAGGTTATTAATGGAATATTGTAAATCAAGCATTTGCGTAGCTTGATTATCCATCTTTTTCAACTGTATTTCGTTGGTTCGCTGTAGTTCAGTGATTCGAAATAAAAGATCCGCGTTTTGTCGTCGTAAGTCTTCATTTTCTCTTTGAAGGGCTTCCATTGGAGCTGTCACAGCAGTGGCAGAACCAGGAGCACCGGAAGTGTAACGGTTGATGATACGGATAGGGGTAGCCCGATTATTGTCAGAGTATGACGGGGAAGCAGCTCGTTTGGTTGTAGACAGTGTTACAGTTGGTGAAGGGGATCGGCTACGGTTAGAACCAAGAAGGTTGTTAACCATGGTACCGATGCGCGAGGTAAGCTTCAAGGGCGCTTTTCCTTTGCCTTTAGAAAAAGTGGAAAGCGTCGATTCAGAATCGTCACCATCAGCGGAGCGGAGAGAAGCATTCAAAGAGGCATTAGAGTGGAATGAAGCAGGAATAGAGGGACCAAACCTTTGATCGGTGACGGGATCATGTAGAGCAAGTTGACGAAGACGGGCTTGGTAGTCAGACGATTCGCGCAAGGGCGAAAGAGATGGCTCAGCGGTAGCAATAGGAGCGGCAGGAACTTGGTTGGCGAGAATAGCAGCTTCTCTAGCTTGCCGTTGCTTGGCTAAGCTGAGGAGCTCGCGCTGAAACCTTTACAGGTCCAACTGCAACGGGACGATACTTTGGGGCAGGAAGGAAGTCATCGTTGTCCGAAAGACTGATGCGATCGTTTTCAACAAGAAAATGGGTGAGTGCTTTCTTGGGAAGCGCGAACGGGGGGGGGGTTGCAGCTTTTGTTTTTGGGGAGGACTTGACGTCCTCCATTGC